GGGGCTCCCGCTTGATTGGATCGATCCTTTTCGCTCAAGACACACTGTCGTCACCGGAATGGCCGGTAGTTTGGCCGCCGTCGGAAAATTGGCGGATTCGCATCACACAGAATGTCTCGAGGGTCACGATCCTGCTCCAAGGTTCTCAAGCCGCCTAAAGAGGCCCATGGGGACGGATAAGGCAGCTTTGCGGATGCATAATGTGTTTACGCGGGTGATCTCTGCTCGGGAAGGGCTGGGGCATAAGAGGCGCCCCTGGTCCGCATTTTGGTTGATCAAATTGGCGAAACATTGTCAGCTTGAAACAAAATATCCCCAAACGGGACTGTCGACGGAGGCTCGGAGGGTGTTTGTGCGAAAAGGTCCCCTGGGTTCGTTATTTTGGGACAAGGTCCCTCGCGGCTGACAGAGGACGAGAGGACCTACTGAAAAAGGAACCTCCATGCCTGCACGGTTTGTCGGCTCATGACGGCGAAGGGCTCTCCGGAGGCTCCCTGGCTGAAGTTGCCGATAAGGCGACATACTTTCGGGCCTACGGTATACACAGTCGACAGGACCGGTGACTTGTATGACTGTGTAATTTAGCGGGGAAGTGCTCCGTACATGCCTTTTTCTAATCGACTGGGTCCGCTATCGTGCCTCGAGCATTCAATATCACATCACACCGGGAGAGCACTTACACGAACATGGGCGTGTGACACTTTTGCTCCGCGCCAACACCCGGCCTTGCAACCATCACCCCACGCCGCCCCCCTCCCAGATTCCAGAATGGCCTGTCGGGGCACAAAGAGAAATGGGAAAAGCCGATTTGCCCAGAAAGAACAATAAACCCCCCCCTCGATCAATGCAACAGATTGAGCGCCCCGGCACCCGCTCCGGGCCAGACCCGACAACGGTAGGAGATGTGGGGCAATCGGGCCCCGGCTGATCCGGCGATCCGGCGTCATCGCCGAAATGGTGGGGCAGCTCGCCGCCGTCTCTGGTTGGTCCGAGTCTGGTCCAAGCTCCAAAAAAAACACAACTCCCGCACCCACGTGACTGCTCCATCCTGGCTGGAAAAAAGTTCAACGTCGGAAACATCCACGCGCGACTCCAGGCCGAAGCAAACGAGGGCGAACCGAGGTGGACGGCTGCGTTGGAAGGAGCCCGCATTGCACACCAATCGACCCAATCTCGACCAACTCGACAGTGCTCCCCCAAGGGATCCCCAGCCCAACCGCCCTCCCCGGCAATTGGTGTCCCCGAGTGACGGCCTCCCCTCCCCGCGAGCGCCGCCCCCCCCCCCCCCTCCCCGATCACCGCTTTCTTCACCCACCACCACCACCACCACCACCGCCGCCACCACCATGGAGGTCCAACTCACAAGACGGCCAGCCGCGAGCTGCTGCCGCCGCCTCCTCCTCTCCTCCTCTCGGCGCCCCTCGCCCACAAGCCGGCCGCTCCGACCGTCCCCGCCCGACGCCCGCCACAAGTCGTCGACCTCGCGCACCAAGCGCGCGCTCAACATCCCACCCCACCCGTCCTTCCTCTCCCCCGCCGGCGTCCCCAAACCCAGCAACAACGCCGCTGTCGCCGCCGCGCCAGCCGCCCCCTCGAGCCACATCATCTTCAACCCCCCCTCGGCCGCCCCCTCAGTGTACCACACGCCCTTCAAGTTCCTGCCGCGGTCGGACCCGCGGCGCCGCGCCCAGCTGCCGGCCAACCTGTTCTCGGCGTCGGCGACGATCCAGTACAACAACAACAACCCCACCACCACCGGCGCCGCCTCCGCCGCGGGGCCCGCCGCGGTCGACCCCAAGGCCTTCCCGGAGCTCAAGCCGCACGCCGGCAGCCTGTACCACCTCAGCGAGGCCGACGTGGCCGAGATGCGGCGGCTGCGGGCCGAGGACCCGGTCAAGAACAGCGTGACGGCGCTGGCGACGCGCTTCGGCTGCGCCAAGCTCTTTGTCATGATGTGCTGCACGTCGTCGCTCGAGCACCGTCTCAAGATGAAGGAGGCCTTCGCCGAGGTCCGCAGCAAGTGGGGCCCGCGCAAGGCCAAGGCGTTTGAGGACAGGCAGAGGAGGTGGGACATGATGCTCCGGGGGGAGTTGTGAGGGGAGGAGGTGCGCGCGGAGAAGAGAGAGACAAATCCGGGGCTGAGCCGATCAGGAAAAATGCAACCATGAGCGGGCTGGCCATGTGGAGACTCGAACGCTCTGGGCGGCGGGCAGCGCTGCGTGGGGGGAGTTGCCGGCGATGGGCGTCTGTACTGTTACGATCAGGAAAATGAGGGGGGCCGCGAAAGACGGCAGTCCGTTCGCCCCCCCTGAGATGCATTGGGCGGTAGAGGGAAGTGAGGGATGGGGCTGGAGGAAGGCGTTGTGAGATGGTTGGAGGGTATCCGTCCGTCGGGCATCACGGCGGAAAAGAAAGGGGCGAATACCATGCATAGACTCTCCTGTCCTGGCGTGGTTGACTTTGTACAATGATCATCATATTATATACATTTTACGATGCACGCATTTCACTCGTGGCCATGGTTTGCGTGGTTTCCAAATATCAATGTCGGTCTGAGATTCAAGGGCTCGGCCGCGGCCCTCTCATCATTGGGCCAAGCTTGCCTTGTTTTGTCCCCCGTGTTCCCGTCATCACCAGGTTCTACTCCGAGCTTTTGCCCAGCTCTACTAAACGCCAAGTTTAGGTCCCAAAGGACACAGTCCCCCTTGCAGAACCTCCAGGTTCCATCCCAGTTCACACCGTCCTTCCAGGAAAGCAATTTGTATATACCCCTTCAAAAAAGAAAAGAACCCCATCACCTCCTCACAAGCGGCACCTGGTCCCTCGGCCTACCTTTGGGAACAACCTGTCCCGCCGGCGGCAGCACCACCGTCGGCTGCCGAATCTCCTCCAGGTCCCGCCCCCCCGGAATCACCCGGCAGCACCAGCCGCACCAGCTCCGCCGCTGGCCCGTCACCTCGCGCCACAGCATCCTGTCGTTCCCCGGCAGGCGCGCGTGCCCCGGGATGTTGCTCCGCCCCGAGGCCGACTGGTGGTGCTCGTCGTCGGCACGGGCCCGCTCGTCGTCCCACTCGGGCACACACGCACCCACCTTGACCATGCGCAGCAGCTTGCGCTTCATGACGCCGCCGATCCCTTCGATCTCGTGGCGCGCGTACCCCGGCCCCAGCTGCGGGCTGGGCGTGCGGTTCGCCGCGGCTTCGGCGGTGCTCGTGGGCGGGGGGCTGATGCTGCTCGCGCCGCTGCTCCAGGGCGAGGAGGTCGGTGTCGCGTGCGCGCCGGCCGGACTGCCCCCGTTCGTCGTGGCGGTGGCGTTGCTGAGGTTGTCGGCGGCGTCGCGCGCCGCGTCGGCCGCGTCGCAGTCTGTTTCTTCTTCGCGGTCGCGGCCGGCGCAGCAAGCCGCGGCTCGGCCGCAGGGCACCCCGCGGTCGCCGTCGCCGATGCCGGTGCCGAGGCCGCCTAGGACTGACGTATACTGGTGGCGCCACTTCCAGATGCTGGAAGGGGTGGTTAGAAAATGGACGAGTGAGGAGGGGAGGGGGCTTGCCTTCGGTATTCATTGTCGTCGCTTCGGATGCCCCGGCCGCAGGGCTGGCAGAGCATGACGCCGCGGGACTCGCAGTGGCAGACGCTGATGTTGATGGGCTCGGAGGCCACAGACAGCTCTGGGGAGAGAGGGGGCTTGACGAGGGATCCCAGGGGCGCCCGGACGCAGGCGTTGCACAAGCGACGGTGCCGCTCGCGATAGACGATGGGGGCCGGGGGCTTGATGGCGCAGTTCTGGGGGACGTGTTAGTGGTGATGGTGGCGGTGGTGGGTATGGATGGATATGTATGCCGGGCCGGGAAGCAGAAAAGGGGCTGGGCACCGTACCCGACACACGACCGTCCCGCAGCGGCGGCACTCGGAGACCATGTCGCGGGCGCACTCGCCGGCCTTGGTGTCCCTTGGCCGGCGGGCGTCCTCCATGTACCAGAGGTTGGTGGCGCGGGTGCGAAACTGCAGCGTCGCCTGGGGATCGACGGGGACGTGCTCGTTCGAGCAGTGAAGCGTCGAGACGAGGAGCATCTTTCGGTACTGCAACACGTCGGCGCGTATCTGGCGACAGGTGCGCGACAGGCTGTCGAGCGTGTTGAGGTCGATCGAGGCGGCTATTGACATGATGATGCTGGACGGGGGCAGTCAGCAAGCATTCGCGGCTGGTTCCCCATTGCCAAGGAGAGCCATGAGGGAAAGGGGGGGACATACGGATAGCATCCCAGGGCGCGCGTCATGGTGTTTTGGTTCGGATTCTCTCTGTCGGTGGGCTGCAGCCCGGATGCCGTGTCGCCGCCGCCGGGGGCATCCGACCCAATGGAGTGGCGTGGGAGTTGGCCATCCTGCGGAGGGTCGCCATCCTCATCGTCCAGATCTACAAATACAGCCATGATGGCGTCGCGCAGTCCTAGGTGGGAGGTCAATGGAAAGATTGTTCAGAGGCGGATGACGTCGTCGCTGGGCAGGGCGCGGGGGGTGAGGGGTCCATGTCTTGACTCTCCGAGGCCTGGAGGGGTCAGAGTGTAGAGGGAGACGGCGACGGCGACGACACGACAGCGCGCAGTGTGCAACAAGATCAATCCGGGGGCCGATAAAAGTCATGGAATGTCCTAACACGAGAACACCAAGCTCTTGGATTTTGGAATTTGGGTAGGTGTTTCTGCGGTTGGCCAATTCCATTTCGCCCATGTCCGCTGCCCTCCCAATGCTTGCAAGTTCAAAGTTGCAATGCAAGCAATGCACTTCATTCGAATGCAACCATTCATCTCAGGAATGATTCAATCATCCAAAAATCTGAATGAAATATCGCTACTAGTAGTACTAGGTGGTATATGTCCTCCGCTCCACCGCCCCTTTGCTTCAAGGTTGTGATCAACCCGGCTGGTTCTTTCGCAGAATGGGACGAGGGCTCAGCCGGTCAAGAGTGACAATAATTGTCTGCTCCAACATCCAATGACACAAGTGGCCGTTTGGCGCAATGGTAGCGCGTAAGCTTCCGGTTGTACATCACCTCCTGCTTAAGGCTCTGGGTTCGAGTCCCAGGATGGTCGTCCCTTTTTGGAAATTTGTTGATGTGCACCCACCACCCCCCTTTTTTGGCCCCTTTTTTTTTGGCTTCCAATGTACCCCACGGGGCTACTGGGCACGGGTTTCCCCCCGATGCGCGCATCCATCCACGGGCATCAAGTGCGTCTCGCAGAGCTTCTGGTCTGATCATATGTACCGCCTAAGCAATTGTATGTAGTACGTTGTTCCCCTTTGCTTTCATCAATCACATGTACGCCTTTTCCAACCAGGTGCATTTCTTCCACCCTGCATGCGGCACAACCACAAGGTACATAAAGTCTTTCATTCCCTCTTCCCTCTTCCCACTTTCCTTCGTTTCTTAGGTACCTAGGTATTCATTCTCCCACTAATTCCATCATTCTCGACCACATTCATCCTCGACGCCCGTCATATTCTTCCTTTGACCATTTAAGTAATTCAACATACCACAGGACCCTCGTGCCTCATTGGCCTTGCCGCCGTCTCTACTCGACCCACCAAAAATTACCGGCATCGTCGGCTTTTGCCTCTTGTTCATGATCATCGCCATCCTCCTTCCTCTCGCGACTCTAGTCCGGTGGTTCGAAGAGTGGCTCGACCGGATCTTCCCTGAATGCGAAGATCCAGAACTCCCTCTCACCGACATGACTACCTACCGCCCCGACCCTATTCCCCAACATCAACATCCCGTACATCCAGCCGATATCACTACAGACCCCCTACCCCGGAACCAACATCCTGCGCCCCCTCCCACCGACATGACCACCGACATGACCACCGACTCCGTCGACCCCCTCCCCCAATACCAACCACTTGCTCCCCACCCCGCAGACATGGCCGCCGACTTCGTCGACCCCCTCCCGCAGTACCATTCCGCCGACGTCACCACCCACCCCAGTCCCCTCCCCCGTTTGCCCCTCTACCCCCTCCCCGAGTACCGACCCCCCGTGGTCCATCCCGCCGACATCGCCAAGCCCCCCTGCCTGTGCTACACCGATCCCTACCTCTCCGCCCGACGCCTTGCCGTCCACCCGCTCCTAGCCGCCGGCTTCCACAACCTCACGTGCAGCCCCCTCTGTCGGCTCCCCGAGGACCTCCTCATCGCCATCATGCTGGCCTGCGACGACCCCGTCCCGCTCCTCGTCCTCCGCCGCTCCAGCCGGCTCTTTCTCCGGCTCTTCGAGTCGCCCGCCTTCCGCCAGTACTGGGCCTCCTCCCCGCCCTCGGGGCCCATCGCGTTGCCCGCGTTACCCTGGACTCCTCCGCGCCACGAGCTGCTCGGCACAGCGCAGGCCGCCGTCCTGCGCCAGCTCCTCCACCGCGACGCCCCCAACAACCCACACCTCTGCGACACATGTCGCTTCCGCCAGCGGCGCGCCGACTGGCCCGCGCGGGTGGCCCACATCACCAAGCGCCGCCTCTTTTGCTCCGAGTGCTCCACGACGCACCCGGCATCGTGCTTCTCAGCGACGCAGCGCCGGGCACCGGTGCGCGTCTGCATCGGGCGCCAGGGCCACGTGCGGCTGTGCCAGCACGTGGCGCTGTCGTGGGAGACAGTCTCGGCGCTGGTGCCGCTGGCGAGGACCCAGCATCCCCACGACACTCTTCTGGTAGCCGAGTGCCGGCACCCGAGCCACCTGCCGGCGCATGCCACCTGGCTGGCGAAGTTATTCGGGTGGTACGACTACCCTCGCGCCTTGTTGAGTCATAGTAGGCGGTGCGAGGAAACAGGGCCCTCCCCCCCTGTCAGATTACGCCTGCATTACGTTGGACATGCGCGCATGCCATGTCCCGACGCCGGGCAGGGGCGCTTCACCCCCGACGTTGTCGCCCGCCAGTTCTCGCTTCTCCGCCAGGACGTCGGACGGTACATCGCTCCCCAGGTGACCCCCGGCGTGCTCCCCGAGATGCTGGCATTCGCTCTGAATTCTTGTACCTGCTTGAAGGATCCCGGCATGGAATACAGACCGTCCGGCTGGCGGCTGAGTGGTATCTCATACCCCCGTCCAAAGGGCCGCCGAGCCCGAGCCTTTCCAGATGACGAGCCGGAAGACCGAAGGAGGCTGCCAACACGCCACTGCAGTGCTTTCCACGCCCAAGAGATGGACATGGATACAAGACGCTCCAATGCCACGACTACCATATCCTTGACGGCCATCCTGCCTTGTTGGGGAGACTCTGAATGCTCCGCCGTAAGCTACACACGTTCCCTCAGGGTGACACACGATTCTACAACCAGATCCGACGTCACAGCCGACTGGCAGCAGGCTGTCGACCCCGAGTCGTACCTCCCCATTGGCAGTGCCTCCGACCATGAGACCCAAGGCATTCTCTGGTGCCCCAACACATCCTGCCTCAACCATCACCGTTTTACAAAGCCTCTTCGGGTGTGGCAATGATAGCATGGCACCTTTTGAACAAGCCAGACACCTCTTTGAACAGGTAAAACACATCAAGAGATGAAATGCAGGCCTGTTCCGCATTGGTAAAGCCATCCGGCTACTGAATTATGCCTCCGGTTTAAAAAAAAAGGCCTTTTGTTTTCGCCTTGACACGTCTAAAAAAGAAAACAGGCCCCCCCTACAACGGGATTGACTCGTCTGGCGGACCATCTGCCGCCGAACCACCTCCTGCCGAACCACCTGCCCTCTTCTTTGTGCACCGACCACAAACCCAACCCCAGATGATTTTTGGCAATTCTGGAAACAGCCAGGCGCCTAGCGCGGCAACCAGCGCTGCAATGGAGACTCCGAGCGTCCACCAGTCTCGCGGCGAAGGCTTGTTCGACTCCTCTCGGAACAGCTTAACTTCGGCCCGGAGCTCCAAAACAGCGCTGGTTGCCTCACGCCGCGCCGCCAGGGCCTCGAGCCGCGCCGCCCTGGCCTCACGCCGCGCCGCCGCGGCCTCACGCTGCTGCGCCGCCGCGGCCTCGCGCTGCGCCGCCAGGGCCTCGCGCTGCACCGCCAGGACTTCCTCGCCGAGGCCCGCGAACTTGTCAACTGCGGCCATGGCCGCCGCGACGAGGTCGCCGTGGTAGCTCGCTAGCTCTTGTTAGCTCTGGAAGTTTAGAATGAAAAGAGGTCGGCTTACGCTTAGCAAAAGGCGGGGGGGCGGCCACCTCTGTGATGGTGGAGGTGGTCGTGGTGGTGGTGGTCGGAGGCGCAACGACCCCGACCGGGTTGGCTTTATTGGCTGCTAATTCTTGGTTAACTCTGGGAGTTCTTTCGGGGAAGGAATGAGAGCAAGCACCGATGACTAGATGCAAGGAAGAAAGAAAAGGAAAAGGGTTCAACTTACCCTCAATGATGTTGGCCGGGGCGGCCAACATGCCCTGTGGTTGGGCGTGGTAGGGAATGACTATTTGTGGTTAGCTCTAGACACAAGGAGTTTTGAAGCAGTGATGAGAACGAGGACAAATGAAAAGACATCAAGATCAGAAAGGCGCAAGGAAACATGGCAACTTACCCACATGGGGTTGGGCAAGCTGCCCATCCGACCCGCCGAAGAGGGCCCAGAGTCCTCGTCCGAAACTAAGAGTGCGTTGTTAGACCTTGCAAAGTGCAGAGTAACGGCAGTACATACTGGAGGGCGGCGACGGCGAACGCCACGCACGCCAGGAAGAAGGCGAGGCGGCGGGGGCGCGGGAAAAACATGGTGCGGCGGCGGCGGTCGTACAGAAAAGAAAAAGGCGAGGCGGGCAAACTGAGATTTTGGGCGTGGGAGGCAGCGGCTTCGCGTCTTTTTCGTAAGGTTGACGAGAAAAGAGGAGAGGAGACGCCTTGGTTCGGAGGACACCTTTTGTATCTCTTCAATGCCTCCAGTCCCTCTCTTCGTCCCTGCCCGGTTTCTCTACACGTCCTTGATGTGATCGGCGGCATGCTTGACTGCGAGGAAGGCATCTGGGGGCGTTTGGCAGGTCTCTGGGTTGTGAGGAAGGCATCTGGGGGCGTTTGTCCGGCATCTTAGTCGCGAGGGAAGGCGTCTCGGGGCGTTTGGCGGGTCTCTCAGTTGTGAGGAAGGTTCCATGGAGAAGATGAAGGGGCGCTCTGATGCTTGGATGGGCATCGACGGGAAGAACTCTGGGTCCCTCTGTGCGTCCTTGCTGCGATAGGACATCCTTGGTCGCGAGGAAGGCATCTGTTTGTCCAGCCTGCGAGGGAAGCTTCATGGAGAGCCGTGAGGGCACTCTGGTGCAGACTGTCCTGCCCGCCCTGCCCCTGAACGGGGCGGACTGTCCTGCCCCTGAATGGGCACGACCCAGCACGCACCGGGCGAGAAATGGAAAGAAGGATGGAAAGACGACGCGGCCTGAACCAGCAAACACGTCATGGCCCAGCCTTGAGTCTTCCTGCCAGCTATGTCTTGTTAGCTACCTAAGAAAAGACAAGAGACAGCAATGAGAAAATGGTCTCACCTTGCACCTTCCATCTGTCCTCGCGGATTGCCTATCAATGGCGTGACGAGTCGTGTGGCGACTTTGGTGAAGGATTCAGGGGCAGGAACGCTCGCGCTGTTGTGCTGGTTGGCACGGCAACCGCGGTGGAACCGAACACCCAACTCGTCGCCTCGTTTGTCCCCCCAGCTTGAAAGTCCTTGAAATCAAATCCTGGTGTATTTGTTAGTGCAAGACCTCTCATCCAGCCAGGAGGACCAACCTTCATCTGATAAAGCATTTTGACACAAATGTTGGCCTCCAGTTCAGACTTCGTGGCCGGGTTGGGCGTAAAAAAGGTCTTCAGTTTCAATCCACGGCTTCCGTCAACCGCCAAATGGCCTTGACCAGTGTGCCCAATGTCGCTAAACTCCAGCATGATGTCCTTGGAAGAGAAAAAAGTCGAGTGAAGAAGAAAAAGTCAAGTGAGAATGAAGAAATCATGCATTGCGTATTCAATTCATTATTATCTCAAAGAACATCTCTAGGTAAAGAGGTCCTCAATGCCACCAACGTACTCATGCAAACAACCAACGCTCTGCTCTGCCTCTGTCCCAAGCCAAAGCACCCAAA